AAAGAGTTTTAGATTTGCGCTCTCCTGTTCTGAAAAAGATTTGGCCAAAAGAAACTCACAGTTTTCGCTCTCCTGTTCTGAAAAAGATTTGGCCAAAAGAGACTCACAGTTTCGCTCTCCTGTTCTGAAAACGACTTGACTTGTATTCTCCTGTTCATTCACCCCGCGGTTTATTCGGCCCTCTCTCCTATATAATCTCTCGTCCCAGAAACCGAGTGAACCCAAAGCTGCGCATATGCCCCTCGACTCTCGTCCCACCATCTTCATCCCTTTTTGGTACCCTTCTCTGTATTCTCCTATGGCCGACCACGAACAAATTGCTCCACAAAGGTTTTACCACACCTCATTAACTTCATATCTAGTTTTCCCATTATTATCCCTTGTGCCATTTCGACTAGATCATTTCTGGAAATCATTTCTGGTTTCTCCTGCTTGCTTAGTTTCTTCCACTACCCATTATTATCTTCTTCCTTGTGCCATTTCGACTAGACTAATTTCATTTCTGGAAATCATTTCTGGTTTCTCCTACTTGCTTAGTTTCTTCCACTACTTTACAATGCTAATTTATTGCCTTTTGCGGCTGCAGTTCAAACCGGGGACAAGAGGAAGCTTTTGCTCTGTTACATGCTGTCATTATTTCTCTGATTACCACGGTAGGTGGGTACGTGCAGTTTCAATTTCAATCAAAGAAATTGTCCCTCTTTGATGAGCATGGAAGCATCATGAGAGCTGTTTTTGGGATGCTATTATTGTATGGTATGGGTTTGCTGGCGGAATTAAAACTTCAAAATCAATCCAAGTACCTTGCTATCATGAAACAATTTACTCCTCTGTTTGGACTTCTTGTCGTGGTTCTACTTCTTTTTGTCTTGTCGCCCTTCCTGGGTTTGGCTGCGTCCATCCTATGGGCTTTCTTGGCAATTGGGCCAACAATCAAATTGTTTCAAGAATGCCTTGGTCGCATGTTTCAAGAAATCCCTGCAAATCCTGCAAATTCAAACATGGAAGAAAGAGAGTCTATTGGGATCCAAGACAATGACTTGCCCGTTGAGGCTTCTTTGGGGAACCAAAACCTGTCGGTCTGTTAGAAGCTAGCGAGTCAATCAGTAATAGGAAATAGGAATTGAGTCTTTTTTTTTCTTTTACTTTGTAATTGGATGGCATCTAGTGTTGTTGTCTAGTGTTTGTATCGTCCTCGCATGCATTTTCCTTTGTCAAGTTAATCTGCTACCAATTTGTGTCTTCCTTTGTCAGGTTTCAGAAATGCGAAGGTCTTCCTTTGTCAAGTTTCAGAAATGCGAAGGATCAAATCTGCTACCAATTTGTGTCTAAACCTGGAATTATATGAAAAATTCGATACGGGAGAAGAACCTGACTCGATATTCTTAAAAAAATAGAGAAATCAGAATCAAGTCAAGAGGATCAACCCCTCTTCTTGCGCCAAACAGAGTAAAATCCAAAGATTAGTTTGGTTTGTTTATATAATTTTAAAATAAGTTTTGTGTTTCAAAATAAAAAAAATACAAAATAAAGAAATGAAAACAAGAAAAATTGTTGTAGTGTTTTAGTTTTTAAAATCTTTTGTTTTTAAAATAAAAAACCAAACGCAGCCTTGCAATCTCAATTATGACTTAATCCCTTAGTAATGACTCAATATGATCCCTGAACTTTTAACTCCTTCGAAATTCAATCCCTTGTATATATTTCCCTGAACTTTTAACTCCTTCGAAATTCAATCCCTTATATATAATGACTCAATATGATCCCTAAACTTTTAACTCCTTCGAAATTCAATCCCTTGTATATATTTCTTATTTCACAAAGGGAAAATTAATTTAAGGGTCCTTATAGCTCCCCTTGGATCTATATTTTTTTCCATTCCTATCCTAGTTATCAATCTTGCTCCTTCTGTTATAAATGTCATTAGTTTAGGTTGACTAAGGGCTTACATGGTGAAAAACCGTATGATAGGGCTCTTCAAAGAAAAATTAAATCAAGCTAAAATATAATATATTAGCCTAACTTAGGTCGATTCACAAAGGAGCTTTTTTATGTTATAATTCCTTAGCTAATCCACTTTTATCAAATTAACAAATTAATACCAAAACTAGATTCTGTGATTTCCCTATGCCAATCTGGATGAAATGTTTATTCCCTTATGTTTCTAAGATTTACAAAATGAATGGTTTTGGATGAAATAGAATGTATCAGTTATGAATGAATGTTCCCCTGAAAGTTCACCTTGCCTTCCCAACCTGATTAAGAATATAGAGTTCAATCAACCAAAGTCATCATTTGAGTTGATTCACTGATCAGTCCACCAACTAATAGGAACTTATAACTATTCAACTCAAACAGCATATAAAACCGTATTAGCAAGTTACTCGTTTGGCAAGAGAATTAGTGTTAGCGAAACTGAATCCTCCTCAGTGACAGCCACCACATATCACCTCAGACATAATTCAAATCAATTTCAAAACCTGACTCAAATCAATTCCAAGAATTAAAATCAATTCTACTCTAATATAGAGGATACAATCCTTCAACAGAGTTCATGCATACAGAATCACTAAACATAAGACTCTAATTCAGATTCAAAAGTTCCACGACAAGCATAGCAATATCAGATTTGAAACCATAAAATGAATGTATAACTCACACACTACACAATATAGGAATCAAATCAGAACAGAAGAATCATATAGAACTCCTTCTGCGGTGTAAGGGCTCAGGCTTGGAACCAACTTCCAGGAGAACTAAGGACGACTAGCTTCTCATTACTGGGGCAGCTTCACTGAGGTCCACGGAATGATCGGCCATGGTGAGGCTGAAGGAGAGAGTGAGACGGTGGTGATGGAGAGATGGAGATTGTGAGAGTGACGAAGAGAGCAAGACGAAGATCAAGCGAATGAGAGGGATGGATATGAGATGAATGGATTTGGTGGTGTGGGTTTGGAATGTTGATCGAAGAAATCCCCCAATTCGAATGTTGAGTGACACTGTGAAATGGAGGTCCCCTCTCCTGAAGCTCCGAACGGTGCGTTTTTGCTCTTTGGTCATATACTGCCCAAATCACCCTCCAATGCTTCCTTTATTCTTCTTTAGTCCTTAACCTAAAAATGGAATTTTAAATGGAAAGCATTAACAATTTTAATAATGAAATTCTGGAAAATATAAGCATATTAAAATAATTTATCCACAAATTCTAAAAATTATTTTCCTTTCTAATTCCACTCAAAATATTCAATTAATGCATAATAATAATGATAAAACCCCCAAAGACAATATCAAAATCTATAGTAAAATAGGAGTTTATCTAATTCCCCCATACTAGCTTTTTGCACTCCAGGCAAAACAATGAAATAAGATTGAATCTCAAACACATTGCTAATGAAGAATGCTAAATCATGTTAAAAAATGAAGTACTTGTGTTTATCAATCATTCCTTCAAATGCCATCAATCCAAAACAGTACCACGCTAAAAGATCAATCGTAATCATGCAATTCAACCAAGGAAAGCAAATAGAAGATGAGATTCCTCACAAGGTTAAGTGTTTCTCTCACTCTCATTGATGAAGGTTATTTCTCTCAAGACCATCTAGTTTAGGCTTCACCATAGGCTTGTAACCATTCTACATCTCCACCACTTATATGCTACAAGGTCTTGTGAATCAAAGGGTCTTTGTAAGGGTTGTAATGTTGGAAAAGCCAAATGATGGAATGGAAGTGAATGCTAATGATCAATAGAACACCTCACATGCATCATAGTTTTGTCAAAGGCTCAGAAGCTTATCCACAAATCAGATTTTGTTATTCAATACAGCTAAATGAATATAAGAATTAACATGAATGGACTCCTTCACTCTTGCCACTCGATCAACATTTTTTCAATTCTGCTTTTTCTTCCTTCATTTTTTTCTATCTTATTTCTTCCCTGCTTTTTTTCATTTCAGGATCCTTTCTTCCTTTCTTTTTCTAGTTCTGTTCTCTTTTTTTCCAAACACATTTTCCTCCCCTATATGGTAGCAATCTACTAGCAAGAGTGAAAGGGATTATAATCAGTCCCAGTCATGCACAGATCGTTATCAACAAATATACAACCATTAAAAGGAAAACAACAAACTTAGATTCAATTTAGCTCATCCTGTTCATAAATCCTTCACTCACTTATGTGCAGGGTTCATCAATCATGGATGAAATTGAAAGAATAGTGAAGGGGTCAAAGGGTTTAAGCAATGGATTTAATGTGTATAGGTTGCTATTTGGGTCAAAAAGGGTTTTGAATGAAATGCCCTTGTCATCTTCACAATTCCAAGAGCTCATGTGGTCTTGAATTAAGGATTGAGACAAGTTCTAGGAAGTTACCAAACTACATGGCATCACACACAATTTAGGAATGAATTAAGGCCCAAAATTTCCTTCCAACTGGTTTACTCATCTTCATCCACTTACCAAAGATAAATTGCATGTAGATTGAACTTAATGCACAAGAAAATTACTTCATGATGCACATTTTCCAGAATTAATTGATTAAACAAGCAATTCAAACCTGAACAAGCTTTAACAGTATTCAAAAGAATGCGTTCAAGGTTCAATTAAATTCCATGACAGCAATGAAAACAATCAGAATATTTCACACTCTCCCCACATGTGAGACAAACATTGTCCTCAATGTAAAAGAAATGACAGACTAGGGAAAACCAAATTTGCACAGCAAATAGGAGCAAGAGAAATGAGCCAAGCCTAAGCCATATCACCAAACTTGTACTACTAGACCGGTCCCCTCCCCCACACTTATGTTAAACAGTCAATCCCATATATAATATATTTCAAGTAAATCAAGAAATTAAGGGACGAAAAGGGACAACCGTAGAATCGAAACCTCTTTAGGCTCTTGAAGCAGAAATTCTCATCCTGGATGAGAATCATGAATTTCAGCAATGTGGCTTGGTCTTTCTCACCATCCTTTGGTGGTGGTTCAGGATCAATTAGAGGCCGTCCTAAGATATATGGTTGCTGTTGGCTCCCTTGGAATCCAATGCCATTAAGTTTCTGCCAGAAAAGACCAAAAACAGCATTAATACAATCAAGAGAAATCATATAAACCAAATGAAGTGGCTTATGTTTAAGCATATCTCTTGGTAAGTTACATGAGAGGGTCTCATGCATAGAATCTTTAATGTGCCTAGGACTCCAACTTAGATTAGAGACAGAGTCATTTAGACCAAAAGCAAATTTAAAGAGATCATATTCAATACCACACAATCTCTTAATGTCTAGTGTGAAGTCACATGAAAGTATAGAATAGAAAGACCCTTGATCATGGTTATTATCATGTGGCAAGAATGTGAAACACTCAAGACTAGCACTAGTATGCCTAAAGCATATCAATGTCTTTTTTATGCAAGGAATTTTCAATTCTGAGTGCAGATTCAGTAGGTAACTCATCAATGAATGAAATATCATATTCATGTAAACATTTATTACTATCATGATATGTAAAAGAAGGATTAATGCTAATAGAGTCAATAAAATGGCCCTTAGGTTCATGAGTTTCAGATCTGGGCTTTTCTTCTTTGATAGAGCAGAAAGCTTGGAAATCCTCATATTGCACAATTGAAGACGCCATAAGCATTGCTGCACATGTTCCACTCTCCAATTCATGGTGTTCAGGGTTAAGCTTGTTGCCTCCACGAGTTTTCTCAATTCCAGCTTGCATTCTGGTGTTAATCTCCTCATATAGTTTTGCAAAATCATCAAACAAGCCTTTCCCAAGACCATCATGATTAGAAAAAGAAGAAATAAGATCACTACAAGAATTAGAAAAGTAAAAATAAAATGCATGTGAGGTAGAAAGGAGGCCACCAATTGACAAGCAGTCAATGCAACACAATCACTCTCACGTGAACAAGGGTAGAAGAAAAAAGAAGAAAAGGAAATTGGATCAGATTTAAGCAAATTAGATTTTATCATATCATGCTTAAGAGAATTAGTTTCGGTCGCATCATGTCCTAAAGCATCTCTATTAATGTCATTAGCACAAGAAAAGGGCTCATGATTCGACTTATCACCACTCATGTCATTTGCAGCTATGGAAGATTCATGCTCAAGAGGAATGTCATTAATCATTAATCATGGATTCACAAGTATGGAAACCAGTAGGTTCAAGAGAATTACCAACAGGCCCCATTGATAGTGTTTGCTCTTCCTCCTCACTTTCTTGGATTGTTGGCATGATGTGTAATGGCCTTTGCTTTAACCTTTTTAATCGATGCCTTCTTCTCCTTGTTTTGAAACCAAATAGCTTGATCCCTTTAAGCTCCTTAGAAATTTCTTCTTTAGGTTCCTCACTCTTCCTTGTAGAGCTAACCATAGTTCCATTCTTCATGACAGCTCTAGAATCTGTCAAAACTCTACAAGAACCTTTCTCAAGCTCATTAAAATTAGTAGCATCTTCATTATTTGCAGAAGTAGAAGAAATATTTCCCACCAGCACATCAATATTAGAATTATCACACAAATCAGTGGAAACTTGTGCAGAAGCAATAGGTGTAAGTGCGGAAAAAGGAAATGAAGAGCCTTTCTCATTTGTCAAACTATCCAACCTATGGTTCAGTTCTTGAAGTTTTCTCAATATAACATCCATGGTTACTTCTTTTTCTATGCTCCTATTTTGTCCCTCTAAGGTCTCCATCTCACTTGTCAAGGATTTAATTCTATTACCAGATTTTTATTCCAATTAGTGAAAGCAAAAACAGTATTGTCAGTCTGACCAGCAAGGTTATGTAATTGCTTGTTCACCCCTTGCATTGCTCTTTTGAACTCATCATTAGAATGTCCTTGACTTAGTGCATACAGTTGGGATGGAGATTCATAAGGATTAATTTCAAATTGGGCATTGGTGTGGGAATTCGTTTCTGTTTAGGCTTTTTGTGGAGAAACACTTTGAATGTTTCTAGCCACTTCTGCATAATAGATCCTAAGTGGACAATCATTGCAGACATGCATTCTAAAATAGCAATGCACACAAAGTATGGAATTAATTGAGTTCACACCATATTCAGGACAGGTGTGAGTTCTGCTATAAGAATAAGAATCAGACCCACTGTTGTTCCAGCACCAATCCATGAGATATATTTCAATATGAAGCTCAAAATCAGAGAGTAGGACTATGCAAAGACACTCAACAATGTGGTAAGTGAGTGTTTTCAGCAATGCAATATCAAAAAGCAAGTTGCTACAGCAAGAGATTGGTTAAGTCCACAGCAATTCGAACTTAACCAACCCCTGACAACTTAATTGCTGTTAGAAATGTGGAAATTTAGCAAACAGGTCAGAAATGTGGGGAACTTCAGCTAATGCACCAAAGATTTAAAAACAAATTGCTTAGCTAAAGATCAGAGATTGATTGATATCTAGGAAAATGCCACTGAATCAGATTTGGAGCAGGTTAGAAATCACTTATGTAGCAAGTTATGACTTAATCAAAACAAGTTTCAAGTTGCATGTACCATCCAAAAATGATTTTCAGTGAGTGACAGTTCATTATCAACAAAGGGACCAACCCAAGTGCAGGTTAAATCTGATGAACAACTAAGTGAATTCAATGAGTTTTAGGACTTGTCATCAAACCGAATCATGCAGATTCCAGAGAATAAAATGTGTTTCTGTGTAAAATCAATGTGTACAGGTCCGATGATTGTTATCAGTGTAAGTGGTGTGAAAATTTCAGTTGAACACCAACAAGCAAGCTACTACAGAAAATGTTGGCTAAAAGCTGAGCAAAATATTCAGAATTTCCCTTTAACCAAATTTGACAGCTTGATGAGTGATTCCATGCGATTTGAATGAAACTGTGCAATTCAAAATGTAACTTGATTGCAAGAGTGACAGAGCAATGAAAATATTCAGTATCAAACCAGAAAAGCACTGCAATTTTAGTCAAGTATTGGATTCAGCAAGGAATTGGACCAATTAAAATGATTATGTGAGTTAATCACTTGAGGTTCAGAGGAAAAATTCACAATATTAGTGGCAACAGTAACCAATGAACCAACTGCTCGCTATCGATAGACATAGGGCGCCAAGGGTCTTAAGTCAACCAAAGCAATTGCCACAAACACAGTTTCCACTTAAATTCCAAAGGCAAGGAAGGAAGAAGTAACAAGAAAATTCTGCATCATACCCCCTTTTTATACATTTTCTAAAACTAAGAAGAAATAAGAAAAGTATTTATTTTCATTTCCCAAAATTTTCACAAAAATAATGAAAATGGATACTGTCAAAGAGACAAAATGGATGCCCAGTATATTTAGCTCCAACTTCTAGCCAATGGGGTCAAAAGTTTGCTCAAACCAGCCAATTCACAATGTGTGCAGAAGTAAGGTCACAGAATATTCAAAGATTAACGCGTTTAGCAAGTTGACAAGTTTTTTAAAGCAAGAATTGGACAAATTCTCAGCAGACCGAACTGACCAAACCCTTGACAACTTAATAGTAAAATTAAGAATTCAAAAAATGCAGAATTATTCAACACAAACTACAACTTGCTCCATGAAGACAAAATTCAATTCAGCAATTTCTAGCAGCATAAATTCTCAACCAGTTCCAAATAATGCTCAATTCAAAGCAACAACAAAGACTTCCTAGTACACACCAATAATTGGAACAAATAACAAAATAGTACTTCAGTAGTCAAGATCAGTATTTCATCCCCAGAACGTTAATTTCTAGTAGCAAGTGAATATTCACTAAATGCAATTCCAGAATCGTCCAACAGTAGGGAAGGACAACAATTAAACCAGATAACCTCAGGGCATTCAGCAACAAATTCCAGAATGAGGATATGCAAAGTATCACAATGGTAAATGATAATCAAAAGTCCAGAAACCAATATTCGAATCAGAACTTCACTTAGCAACACCAACAACCCAGATGCAAAGCAACAAAATGAAAGCCAGAAATTCCCGAGAGCTAGACTTTTCTTTGGATTTAAGCTCTTTCTTTTTCTTTTCTTTTTTTTTTTCCCAATTTAAACTATTGGCAAGCTAGTGAATTGCTTGGGAACCTCAGCTAGTAAAGCTCCAAAGCAACGACGCCACTTGAAAAACCGTGTCGTAGGGGCTCTTGAAAGAAAAACTAAATCAAGCTAAAATATAATATAATAGCCTAACCTTGGTCGATTCACAAAGGAGCTTTTTTATGTTATAATTCCTTAGCTAATCCACTTTTATCAAATTAACAAATTAATACCAAAACTAGATTCTGTGATTTCCCTATGCCAATCTGGATGAAATGTTTATTCCTTTATGTTTCTAAGATTTACAAAATGAATGGTTTTGGATGAAATAGAATGTATCAGTTATGAATGAATGTTCCCCTGAAAGTTCACCTTGCCTTCCTAACCTGATTAAGAATATAGAGTTCAATCAACCAAAGTCATCATTGGAGTTGATTCACTGATCAGTCCACCAACTAACAGGAACTTATAACTATTCAACTCGAACAGCGTATAAAACCGTATTAGCAAGTTACTCGTTTGGCAAGAGAATTAGTGTTAGCAAAACTGAATCCTCCTCAGTGACAGTCACCACAAATCACCTCAGACATAATTCAAATCAATTTCAAAACCTGACTCAACTCGATTCCAAGAATTAAAATCAATTCTACTCTAATAAAGAGGATACAATCCTTCAACAGAGATCATGCATACAGAATCGCTAAACACAAGACTCTAATTCAGATTCATAAGTTCCACGACAAGCATAGCAATATCAGATTTGAAACCATAAAATGAATGAATAACTCACACACTACACAATACAGAATCAAATCGGAACAGAAGAATCATATAGAACTCCTTTTAAGGGCTCGGGCTTGGATCCAACTTCCAGGAGAATAAGGATGACTAGCTTCTCATTACTGGGGCAGCTTCACTGAGGTCCACGGAAGGATCGGCCATGGTGAGGCTGAAGGAGAGAGTGAGACAATGGTGATGGAGAGACGGAGATCGGGAGAGTGACGGAGAGAGCAAGACGAAGATGGAGCGAATGAGAGGGATGGATATGAGATGAGTAGATTTGGTGGAGTGGGTTTGGAATGGTGATCGAAGAAATCCCACAATTCAGATGGTGAGTGGCTGTGTGAAATGGAGGTCCCCTCTTCCAAGCTCCAAACGGTGCGTTTTTGCTCTTTGGTTATGTGCTGTCCAAATTACCCACCAATGATTCTTTTATTCTTCTTCAGTCCTTAACCTGAAAATAGAATTTTAACTGTTTTTTAAATCGTACAATTTAGTTAAAAGAATCTTATAATAAGAAAAGGAGTAGTATATATGTGCATATAAGAAAGAACACGATTCTTTTCTTTTCTTTTTTTCCTGTTGAGCAATTATGATTAGCTAAACTTTTAGAGAAAGAAGACTGGGAGTAACATATCAACCTAAGTTCAGACAGGGAAGTTATTTCACTTCAGACAAGTTCATAATATGTTTATTTAATATTTATCAGATTTCATGTTGGTCTTTTAAATCTAAAAGTGAGATAAAAAATTTTCTAGCACTTAATTAATTAACACTGTTAAGTAAGGGGTTAACAAATAAGAAAAACCATAAAATAAATTAATTTAAAATTTTTTAATAAAATGTTTAGAATTACAACCTTTAAATAAATAACTTTTACTCATTTAAACAATGCTGAAAATTCAACCTAGAATGTAAAGTGCAAGAATTAAATATTTAAGTTTTATTATAATTAAAATACTTTAAAAATCTTAAAATAATTTGGACTTCATATTTGGGCTCATGTTTCAGACGAGGTACATGGGTCTTCTTCTAATCAATGTCTCTTGAAGCTTATTCTTTGAACCAATACAGTTGATTGGAGCAAGAGTCGGCTACCAAATTTACTGCTCAACGCTCCAACTCCTCCCTCGCTAATATATTTGAGGTGTCGAACCGTGGGAATGATGTGAGGAAAAGGAAGCGTTCAAGGGACACTACTCTTACAAATGCCAAGAGCAGAAAGACCTTTACCATTTCCTCTTGTGTTTCGTCAGATGTTTCTATAATCAAGGCCCTCCTTTTGCCTTCTTTGCTGATAGCCCTGCGGATAGACATGTTAATCGTAGTAAGACTAGTACTCAATTTGAAGTTGACATCTGCAAGTGGTTTTTGCAAGTTTTGACTCCTACTCTCTGGATTTGCGACCTTTCTGCCAAAAAGGCTCGCATGGTAGAAGGATGAGCCACAGATACCATGGGTGCCACAGAATGAGTAGTGCTGTGGTAATCAAGAATGCTCCTAGGCTGCTCATCTTTCCATTTACTTTCTCCGTTTTTCATTTGTATGGCTTTAGTTTGCGTTTGGTTTAGAGCAACAGGCATGCTTACAATCAGCTTCGCTCATCAACACTATTATGGCTTCATGGTGATCTCAAACTGGGCTCTATTATGTTGTTGCTGGGATTTGGCATCAGCATTACACTATTTTTCAACACCTTTTATGGTGCAGGCATCGTGAGATTATGGGTAGTTCTCAGGTGTCGTAGTGGCGTTAGCTTTGGAAATAGCTCGACTAGAGTGCTTACCGAGACTCTTTTCAAAATGTTGGAGTCCTATGCGTGGACAGATATGAAGTTGTGTTGGTTGATGCAAGACGAGGGACTTGCTTTGGGCTGTCCTTCTCGCTTTTTGTATGTGAATGTTTTTTGTTGAACATTTCATTTTTTGTACTTTGTTTTATTTTCTGCTGCTAGGCTTCACTATCACTTACCGTGGTATCCTAGTTGTTGATGCCTTTTTTATGTATTGTTTTATCTGATCTTAATAAAATTGTCTATTATAAAAAAAAAAAAAATGAAGTGTATTCTTTTGTACAAAAGCTAACCATTTAAAAGCGGAAAAAATGACACATAAATAACCTTTCATTTTCATATATGAAATTCTAATTTGAAAAACTAAAATTTCAAATGGACAAAAAAAACTTAAATTATTATTTTGAAAATGGGGTATAATGACAAAAATGCCATTTACTAAAAGGGATAAAAAAGCTAACCCTCACCGGAGGCCTGTCTCCAGCCTGCGGCCAGATGAGGGCCCCCCCCCCCAAAAAAAAAAAAAAGGATGGGTGGGATTAGGGTGAATGGACAATACCACTCTTGGGGTGTTTCTTTTCTTTTTCTTTTTGTTTTTTTGAAGCACGATTGTTAATCTCTCACACCGTAACATAGAGACAGTAGATGCTCATAGGGAGGCACTGGCCCCTTCGGATTTACTTGCCAAGAGGGCTCATGAGATGAACAATAAAAGAGCACTCTTGCTGGACCCACCCACATTCTGCTTGGATCAAATGGCAAAGGACTTAATTTAGGCCCTATTTCCTTTCATGATTGAAATAAGCACATTTTATCTAAGTCAAAACAAAATTTCTCTCACATATTTACCTCATATTCCATAAATCACGATTGAAAAGCTATTTATAAGCTGTTCCAAATATGTCCTTAGTCTTGTTTATTTCAGCTAGTATGTTGTCAACTTAAATCCTGTTTGATACGTAACATTAAAAATGAGAAATAAGAATTAAGATTATAATTGATAAAAATTATTAAAAAAATTTAGTATAAGTAATTACTTGTTATATGAAATTAGATAAATCCATTGATGTGGGATTGGAGAATACCATCACCCACCACAGTATTCTCCAATCCCATATATATGGGTTTGTTTAATCACATATATATGGATTTGTTTAATCCCATATAATAGGAATTCTTCCCTGCTAAATATTTTTTAAATAAATTTTTTAAATTCCAACCTCAATTCCTACTCTTTATTTTTAACACTTTGCACTAAACAAGACCTTAGTCTCTATTTGTAGTTTTCCTTCTCAAGATTGCCGCAGAACTTGTGCGTCTCTATAATTGTATGTTGCCAATGAATCACTTTTCGATGGTCTGAAATATGATTGATATACATTTAAACATATTTGAAACATTAAATATTTTAAGATTAATATTATTTTTAGTTTTTAACTTTGACTTTGTTTTGGTTTTGATCATGAAATTTTATTTTATTTTGACCTGTGTAAACATTTTTGACTTAAATCAACATGAAGTCAAATTTTAAAAATTAAAGATAATATTAACCAACGTTTTTATTTGGAAATTGCTGCTCTTTGGTGATTGTATGTCGCAAATTTTTATCTAGCCTTATTTCATGTATATATTAATATTAAAGAAGGGTAAAGTTCCAGCGTCATGTTCTTTTTTAATTATATCTAGTGCGCTAATTTTATCCATTATCCTAATCCTCCCCCAGCTCTTATATTTGAAATTAGAAGAGTATTATTTTTCTACTACTTCTAGTACCTTAATTTTATTTATGATACATCATAAATAAAATTAGAATGTTGGGTGTAATTGGATTGGATACATGATAAATAAGATTAAAATGCCAAATACTACTGAGAAATAACATTAGGATGTTTTACGATAACTTACCCATTAAAAATGATAAAAAAATTGGATTAATACCATTATTATTTCTTACTGTATAGAAAGTAAATGTGTATGTGATTTTAAAAGTAATTTTATAATATATAAAGTAAGTGTAAAAAGAGTTTTATTTTGATTTACATAAAATAAGATACCAATTAAAAATAATACAAAAATTGGATTAATACTATTATTATTTCTTACAGTATGGAAAATAAATATTTATGTGATTCCAAAAGTAATTTTATATATAATATATGAAATCAGTATGAGAAGAGTTATGTTGTGATTTATATAAAAATACAGTTTTTTGAAAGTAATTTTGTGGGCATCCCGAACAGCCGTCCTCGGGCTCAAAGGTTTTCCCCATGGGGAGTAATCCATCGGTCCACAGTCAATCTTCCTGTCTTCTACGTTACGGGTTCAGATCCTCTCAGCGGCCATTTTCTCCTTATCCCTCAGAAGCTCTAAATCATATCCGTCCAATCAATCTAAGGGGTCACAAAAAGACACATCATCTAGCTTTTAAAATTTTATCCCCACCGTCCAATATATTATGATCGTAGCTGTCCATTCAAATCCTGTTTAACTGTTCTTGCCAAAGCCCGACGATCTGTTCTCTCGCACTCGCGACATTCCGTTCCCCTTCACAGCCCTCTCCAGCATTATGTTCTCCGTCTCCCGCTTCGTCACTCGAAGCACGGCATCTCTTACTCTTCTGTTCACCTCCTCAGGTCAAATTCTAGTTTAGCATGTGAAGCAGTTGCAGGCCCTTTGCGATCCCTAACTTCAGTCAATCTGTCCAGGAATTCGGTCAGAGCGGAGCAACAGCAGAGATAAATAGACTGCTGAGGCAGTCTTCCTCGGCTCTTGAGGTATAGGAATAGGTATATTGCCACTTGCCTTTATCCATATTTCTTGTTGAAGATTATTGAGGAATATGTGGACGTCATTTCCTCTGGTAAAGAAGCAGGGTATGAGTGCATTGTCGAATTTATCCGTGGATGAGAAGCTCCGCATTAAAATTGCAAAGAGTCATTTGCTGCCATTAATTACTAAGTACCTTGAAGACGAGGAGGTAAGACTGAAGAAGCTGCAAGAGGCATGTTGGCAAATTTAGCTCTGTGCCATGTTAACCACAGCATTTCGGTTGAAGCAGGATCATATAGAATTGGTGAGACTTCCCTAAGTTTACATAGTATTAAAAAGATGGTTATTTCTATAATAAAATATTGGCATGACATGCTGGTTTTATACGGAGGCATGTAAATCCCGGCAACATAAATTCACTAAAACGCCATAAGAATATTGGAGGGACGGGTGAATGAAAGAATGGTAAGAAGAATGTCATGTTTTCAGTGGGACTTAATTCTTAATGCTTACAAAATTTCAGATCAAATTTTCCTGCAGGCAAAGTTCTTAACTTCTGATTCTGAAGGACCCAAAGTCAATAAAAAGGCGACAATCCATTTTCTTGACCCACCAGCATAGACATAACATGAATGCTCTGTAACCTATCTTCCTTGTTGTTTTATGAATTGAAATGAAGCTTATGTCCATGAACCCCATCTCCCTTTTGTTCCCGTGGTGAATTCATCATTAAAAAATTTCATGATAGTGTGTTGCGTGTAAATAGTCATGGGTTTTATGGTGCAAGCCTATTATTCTTCATATGTATAGGACCATGTTGATGATTTGGAATTGGTTCTCTCCTCTCGTCATATCCATATACAATTATACATGCTATCTTGAGCGACGAGCATGTACCGGCTTGACTTATAATTGTAATAGAATGGAAGAACTGAGTTCGAACACCACAAACATTACATGTTTGAGCCCCATCCATCTATCTCATTTCAGATTTCTCGTAGCACAAAAGCGGTCAACTGCAAGCAGGGAAAATGTAGCTTTTACATCGAGAAGTACTTAACCCATGAAAGTATTACCTCCGGTCCTAATTATAAGACCCAGTTGACTTATTTGAGGAGATTAAGGAAGTAAGTTAAGTTAGTTATTTATAATAAATAAGTGTTGTCATTCCTAAAATATCCTTGCTAATTAAGTATATTGGCTAGAACTACCATTATTAGAAGGATTATCTTGGAAAAAAATGTATAAATATGAGAGATAAAATGGATTGGGATCTTATAATTAGGACCAAACAAAAAGTCAAACGGGGTCTTATAATTAGGACCGGAGGTAGTAATTTACTTCTAGTAAAATTTTCCTTTGGTTATTTTGTTTCTGATAAAATTTGCAGAAGATCGACGTCATGTTCGCAATTGAGGGTTCAGTGCGTTTAAAAAAAGCAACAAAATTAGACGGCTACGATTTAATAAATTAACCGCTCAGATGAGCTTCTGAGGGATACTGAGAAAAAACGCCGCTGAGGGAATCTGCTTCCCTACGTTACTTAAAAGGAACAGATATGATTTTGGCCCAAGAAAAAAAAGGACGGACAAGATAGAGCGAAAGATGCAGGGGACAGAGATGGAGCCGAGCAAAAAGAAAGCGAGGCTGGGAGAAGAAAGCGAAATAGAGGCAGCACGGAGGACTCAACATTCGACTCAGGAGAAACCCGAACTGGTAATAGCTTCAGATCTTCTCCTTTCCCCTTGAATTCAATGAATCCTATCTCTCAATTCATTGTTATACCTAACTCCGATTAAAATTGAGGCCAAAAAATTTGTCGGATCAAACTTCAATTTGCAGAGTGAGCCCTTTGGTTGTGCTTATCAACAATGGCTTCGTAGCTTGTTAGGCGATTTGGTTCCTGTGTGTTCAGTGGGTTGCATTTGGCCATTGTCCCTGTTTTTTTCCCTGTTCTTTCTTAGTTTCTGCTTTCGTTTGTTATTCTCTTCTGCTTCTGCTTTCCTCCTTTTACTTCGGCGCAACATTGATATGACAGAAAAACAAGAAAAATTTTTCTCTTCGTTGCAACATTGTTATTCTCTGCTTCTGATTTCTTCCATTTATTGCGTGTCAAGTTTATCTTTTTTCGGAATGATTTTGAGGGAAAAAGCGTGTGATGATGCGAAGCTGTTGGTTTTTTTGTTTTTTTTTTTGGGAGGGAGGGTTAGTGAAGGAATGGGCTATGGACTTGTACGCAGTGTTTGGTTGGAGGGTTTTTGAGAGGAGGGGAGGGGATCAGTGTGTTTGGTTGAAAAAAATAGAAGGGAGGAGAGGAAAAAAATTTGTCTTTTAGTGCTCCCCTCTCTTCTTTCTGCTCCCCTCTAAATTTGGGGTTTTTTGGAAGGGAGAGAAATATTATGTTTCGTATGGACAAAAATATCCATGTTAATTTTTTAATATTCCAAGTTTACCCCTCAAACATTTTCTCCTTTCTTTCACGCTGCGTCTCTTCCTTTCTTCCCACGCGAAACCCTTTCTCCTTTCTTTCTCAAGCATCTTCACAGGCAAAACCTTCCTTTGTCTATCTCTGCTTCCTCCAAAGATTCTATCCCTCATTTCTTCGCTCCTCATCTCCGCTTCAGGTACACCTTGGTCACTATATTTGTGTATTTTTATAGCATTGTCTTTTATGATGATTTTATTTTTTTACGTCATATACCAATATCCCTCCAACTTTGATGATTTTATTTTTTTAATGTTAAATAATATTATAGTATTGATCGATTGTGTTGGAAGCATTTGGATCTTGTTATTGAATCAATGTCATATTATATAAATTTCATACGCCGATCAAGTGTGTTGATAGGCTTAGGAGCATGGTGAAGTGGAAAGGGGGCAGAAAATGAGATGTGATAACACCATGGCAAGGGGGTGGTGGGGCCGAAGTGATTTGGTAAGCCATGTGCGGCGGCTCTGCTTCTGGGCACCGCTCCGTCAAATCCTGCTTCCAAGGGATTCTACGAGTTCCATATTTAACATATTAACCCTTTCTTCTTCTGTCTTATTTCTAGTTAACAAGTAGTAATATTTATACCAGTTCCACGTGTAATTCCCTTTCTACTAAATGGGGTTTAAATGGTGCGTTGGTGATTGGGATTGTCATACATTCTTGTGCATGTCCTGATCAGCTAACGCTTGATTCCCCCCATGTGCCTTTCTTTTATGGCGTACCATGCTATACATACAAGGGATTCTTTCTATGAGGGTGAGAATTAATTTTTTTTTTTGGGTCAAACTGATTTAGTTAGCTTCAGGTTAGGTTACAGCTGTCAACAATAAGTTGATGTCATTTGCTTATATTAAGTGGATCAGATTTGCTTCCTGATGTAAAAGAATATGTATCTTAATTTAAAATGCTCTTGATACGTCGTGTTTGGGTGGACACATGGATCAATTATTTGAATTCCTTTTGATGTCTATGCTTCTTTAAAGGGAGACTTGATGCAGGAGGGAAAAAGTAGTGTGCATCTCTGCTTCAATGCAAATCTGAATTCAATCTGTTTCTTGAGTTTTTTCTGTCGTGTTGTAAGAAATGCTTTTTTCTCAGACCAATTGTTGTGTCCATGATTGATGATGTTTCTCTTTTTCTAAAGATGCTTCTCGAGCAGTGGAAGCCAGTGATATAGTTTCTGCTTTGTTTGAGTTGAGCTATTGCCTAGATATAGTTTCTGCTTTTCGAATAGTGCTGATTAAAATATGCTTCTCACGCATTTGCCTTTTGGTTTTTGATTTATAGATATAATTTATTTGTCAAATAGTGCTGATTAAATATGTCAAATCTATTTGTCATGTCTCAAGTGATCTAATATTAATTGGATACATGTCTATATGGTTTATTAGATGGAATGGAGATCTCAAAACAATTTAGCCTTGCGTCGATGGTTAGATTTGCGTCAAAAAGCTATAGCACTACTCACATGTGTTTTTGTCTATCTTGTTATTCGAAGGAGGTGCCGTAAGAGAAAAATAAGTTATAGTATGAGTTCAGAAAGGAAAATGGTGCGTGAAGAAATAATGAGCCAATTAAGCACCAATGAAAAGAGTCGCAATATCATTCGCATGACTCCTAATGCTTTCCTAACATTATGTGTCTTGCTAGAAAGAAAGGGGGGGTTAAAGCCCACAAGATGGGCTACTGTGGAAGAACAAGTGGCAAAAACTCTTTACATATTAGGCCATAGAGCAAAAAATCGAGTTGTAAATTTTTTCTTTCGAAGATCTGGTGAGACAATTAGTCGCCATCTCTATAATGTGTTAGGAGCTATTATTGAAGTAGGCGATAAATTTATTGTGCAACCTAATGGAGCAATAGTCCCTCCTGAAATCCATGCAAATGAGAGGTTTTATCCTTTTTTTAAGGATTGTATTGGCGCCATAGATGGAACACACATACGTGTGAAGGTATCTGTTAAAGATGCCCCTCGATATCGTGGTAGGAAAGAATTCCCAACACAGAATGTGTTAGCAGCTTGCTCATTTGATTTAAAATTCACCTATGTGCTCACTGGATGGGAAGGCACAGCATCTGACTCTAGAATTATGAAAAATGCATTAACACGAGAGGATAAGCTGAAAATTCCTGAAGGTAAATACTACCTTGTGGATGCTGGTTTCATGCTAACTAGTGAACTCATTACACCCTACAGAGGAGTCCGTTATCATTTGAAAGAGTTTTCAGAAAGAAATCCACCCCAAAATTATAAAGAATTGTTCAATTTGCGACATTCATCATTACGCAATGCAATTGAAAGGGCTTTTGGTGTTTTGAAAAAAAGATTTGACATTTTAGCCAATTCAGCTGAGCCTACTTATGAAGTGAAAGCTCAAACTCTTATTATTGGAGCATGTTGTATTCTTCATAACTATTTAATGAGTATAGATCCTAATGAGGATCTCATAGAAGAAGTAGATCATGAACTTGCAACTCAATCTGAGTCTAATGATAATATTCGTGATCGACGTGGTGACAATGAGGAGGCTGCTCGGGGACAGTTGATTAGAGATACTATAGCAAATGAGATGTGGATAAATTATCAAAATAGGCTAATGGGACGTGGTGGCAATGTACCCTAATCAGTTTAAAACTTGTGCTTTGATGTACTTGTTGTTTCATGTCAATTTGATTGTATTGTATTTGAAGTTTGAGACTTGTTACTTTTAAATTTGGTTGTATTGTAATAATTTTGTAGTTAGACTTTTATGGATTGTATTTGAAGTTTGAGACTTATTGCTTTTAAATTTTTTATGTAATGTAATAATTTTTGTTTGTCGTATTGTTTTATTATTTTGATAATAGAATGCCGCCCAAACCGAACAATAATAAGCAATATTTGAATTGGACAAGAGCGATGGATGATTATCTTGTTGATGCGTTCATGGAACAATATAATTGTGGCAATAAAGTAAATGGCACGTTCACAACCACTGCGTATGAGAACATTGTGAAAGAGATGAGTGCTTTACTTGATATTGAAATGGACAAGGAGAAGATTAAGAATAGGTGGAAAACTTTAAAAAAGAACTTCTCTGAAATTTATGATATTTTTAAAAATGGTTTAAGTGGGTTTGCTTGGAACCCATCAACCCAATTATGGGAGGCAGAAGATGAAGTGTGGGATCAACTTATTGAGGTCAGTTTATGTTATTTATTGTAGAGAATTTTTAACATCTAAACCCTCTATTTATTCATTAATATTGACTATTATTTAAATTTTTTCTTTTGTATTCAAAGCCTAAAGCTGCAAATTGGAGAGATACTCCATTTCCCAATTATAACAAGATGATCATCTTGTATGGAAATAATAGAGCATCAGGGGAGGGAACTCATACTATAAGTGAGATGCGAAAGAGACATCATTCAATCAATGAAGAGGACTTTCTTGATACAGGCAACAACACTGAAGATGTTGCTTCCCAACATAATATTAATATGGAGCATTTTGAAATACTTGATAACAGTGTCAATCAAGATAACTCACTTGGAGTTGCAAGTGCTTCATCTAAAAAGAAGCAAAAGGTGAATTCAAATAAGGAAAAAGACTCCGAATTAAGTGAGATTAAGGATGTCATGTCTGAAATTGCACAAGCTATTAGAGAAAGTGCTAGAAAGATTCCACAAGTTTCGGGTGAAGAAGTATGGAATATGATTAAAGATTGTGGCGTTTCAACAACCTATATTGCCAAGATCTATAAAGCTCTTATGGGTGATGATGGGCTACTAAAGACATTTGTTGAATGTCCCCTTGTTGGGCGCAAGGATTTGCTTATGGAAATTATGAATGATTTAGGAAATTAGTTTGCTAATCATTTGGAGACTTTTGATGTTAAGTGATGTTGATGTTACCAATTATAAATGGCTTAGAAAATTTATAGTTTGCTGACTATTTGGTGACTTTTCATATTATGTGACTTTAATGTTGCCTGTTATGAATCACTTAGGAAATATTTAGTTTACTGACCATTTGGTGATTTTTGATGTTGGGTGACATTAATGTTGCCAATTATGTAATGAACTAATGATATTTGATAATGATAATATAATATTTCTATCATGACAGCAATTTTTTTTGTAATATGATATGACGAGTATATATTAATAGAGGGTGGTATGTTATAATTATATAATATATACATATTATAGCTTGTGTCTATTATAATTATATATCATAGTGTGTATTATAATTATATAATATATATACATATTATAGCTTGTGTCTTTTATAATTATATAATATTTTCTAATTTTTTTTAGTTTTATCATAATTTTTTATCACATATAAGTGAGGTAATTGGTTTTTTTGAAATTGATAAATTAGAAAATAATAATTTTGATATAAATATTGTAATAAAAGAATAAATCAATCTAAATATAGAGATAAGGGCATATTTGTCAATTTATAATCCCCTCCCCTCCCCTTCCTTTCTGAACCAAACAAGAAATCTCCCCTCCCCCCCTCCCCTCCCCTCCAACCAAACAAAACCCATGACCTTCCTCCTCTCCCCTCCCCTCCATTGAACCAAACAAAGCCGTAGGGTTATATATATGGTTATCAGATTTAGGCGAATAGTCAAGAAAAGCAAATTAATTTTTTTGAAATATTTTTATTAAATTAAAGCTAGGCATTAATCATTAACCTTAAAAGAAATCAAAATAAATGAAGTTAAATTTATTAATAACTGGAAGAAAATTTGTTGTTGGGTATTTGCAGCTTGACTCAGTCGTACTATTGTTAATAATTAGAGTTAAATTTATTAATAACTGTACAGCTAAAAATGTTTTTGACAAACATGTATCATCCTAACATGTTTAATCTGTCAAAATCACTGTTAATGTAAAACAATCCAAACATAAGTTGAAATCTACCCATATTCTATTTTGCCAATGCTAATCTAAACACCCTATTAATTGGCAATGATGTGCTGTTTGAGTTTTAAATTGCATCATATCATCATTTTCTTCATGTTATCTCTCGGCCTAATTTCTGCAATGGGACTTGGGGGAGTTAATTTAATAAGAGAGTAAAGCTTGATCATACTTATATGCATACATAAATACATATACATATGTGCTTGATTGCGTGTAAGCAGTGATTGAGGCAAACTACATGCGAGAAGGTTAGAACTATTTGAGTTACTGAGAGTTCGTTAGTGTCTTTTTATTCACTTTATAGAGACAATGTATGCTTTCCGTTATTCTCCAATTCACTGGCTCCTCGAGAATATATGCCTGTCATATGGCCATGAACTTAGAAATGTTGGTTGACTCTTGCTATCTAATTGGAGCAATGCCAATTCCCGAAATAGTTGATAAGGTTTCTTTGAATCGTTGATGAGGTTTCATACATAAAATGTGCTTTCCTTTTTCTTTTTCTTTTATTTTTAATTGTCCTTTGTGAATAACATGCTAAACTATGGGAATTTTATATCTTGACCCTCCCACTAACCCATTTTTTCTGTGAAGGTCTGTGTAAGGAGGACATGATTTTATACTATCTTACGTTGAAGATGATGATGAGTACTGTCCAACTATGGTGGAACCAAGGACCAAAGCTTGGAGTTATGGTGGAATGTGCGCTAACAAAACTAGGTCAGCATTTTCTAAAGAAGGTGGTGACATCTGGAGACCCCTCGACCACAAAAAACTTGATCTGGAGATTCGTGCAAAGTTCAGCTAAATCAGTGTCTCTCAGCACTCTTTGCCATCTCCTCTCTCCTTCTACAGTTCAACCCCATCTCTCCTCAGTTGCCTTCCCGGTTAGTACTTTACTCTTTATCTCTCTCCTCGAATTGATTATTAGAGTCTCTGATGTTTCTGCGAATTTTGCAGCTTTATGCAAGAATTGCGGAAGCACCTTGGTACAGTTGGAACCCTAAGATTGTAGATGAGTAGAGCCGGTAATACGGGGGCCCAGCCCGCCAGCCCGTCAAAAAAGACGGGCTTGGGTTGCTGTTTTCCCAGCCCGCCATGATGCGGGCTACTCTAGCCCGCGCACCGCTTTTGGCCCGCTCCACCGCGGGCTAGCCCGCCAGCCCACTTTTTTTTTTTTTTTTTTACTTTTTCTGATTTTTAATACATTATATAATATAATTAGATGATTTTGACCATTAAATTTCATATGGACATTACCACATCCATATCATTATATATATAATTAATTAAGCACTTCATATATATGTATGGTTATATGAAGAGCACTATCCATCTTTTATTTTTATATCTATTTGTCGTTAGTATGCACGGCTTCATAAGATTAGATAAATATGTGATTTTCATATAGTCATACATATACACACATAAAAGATTTACTTAATTAATTTGGATAAGAAAAACTAGTTAAATTAATTATTTATAAAAAATATATATGTTAGTTTTTCTTAAATTTCTTCTAATATTATAAATTAATTCTCTTTTTTTTTATTAGGATCCATTACTCAAGTTTAAAATTCGGAGCCTAATTTCAACATTTCAAATTAGGCTTAACTCATATTAATATAATAAATTTAAAAAAAAATTAGGCGGGCTTTTGCCAGCCCGCCAAGGTGCGGGCTACTTCAGCCCGCACCGCATTTGGCCCGCACCGCGGCGGGCTGGCCCGTATCCGCACCGCCAGCCCGCTTTCCCAGGTCTATAGATGAGCTTGCTACTTTGCTGGATAAACAGGAACAATATTCAGCCTGGGAAACTCTAATTTCGGGAGCCACTTCCAAATTAGAGTCTGGCTCTCGAAATCTGGCTCTTTTCTATTGTAAATTGTTGGAGTGTAACTCCAAGCAAAATTCAGAAAGAGGGTTTGAGATTGCTTACTCGTACCTAAGCCAGCTTCTTCATAGTTCATCATCCTTTACTTACATAAAACGTCGTGTTTATGAGTATATGGTCAGTGGTTTATGTTCAATGGATAGGCCTTGTGAGGCAGAGAATTTGGTTGGGAATATGAGAATCAAAGCACTTGAACCTTCAGCGTTTGAATTCGAGTCTATCATGTGTGGTTATGGGAGATTGGGATTATTCCAAGACTTGGAGAGACTTTTGGTTCAAATGAAAAAAGAAGGGTTTGTTATTGATACAGTTTGTTCAAATATGGTTCTTTCAGCGTACGGAATGCACGGTGAGCTAACAAAGATGGTTTCATGGCTTCAAAGGATGAGGAATACATCGATTCCGTTCTCGAAAAGGACATATAATTCTGTTTTGAATTCATGTCCTGTTCTCATGAGAAAACTGGTAGACTTATATGGCTTCCCATTGTCAATTGAAGAGTTGAATGCTAGTTTGGAAGGAGCTGAAGCTATAGTGATTCAACAGCTAATGCGAGTTAACCATGCTCGCTCCTGCATGCCATACTCTCAAATTTGATTCTTTCTTTGGCTTTTGCACGTGTGACAGAGGGGGATTATATCAGATTTATTCGGAGAGACTAAACAGTTAAAAAAAAAAAAATATCTGTAATATACGTAATTCATTCCTCCCATGTCGTTATCTCCATCTTAAATCAAATTTATTCGTTTTTATTTTGTAATTTAATATTTTGATGCTAATTTTATGAAGTAATCAAAGGAAAAATTAAGTTGAGGTCTCAAAAAAAAAAAAAAAGGTTTATGAGAAGGTTTTAATGACGAATTAAATTGTCATTCCGTACTAAGACTGTCAATGTACATTGCTCTGTCACTATTGAGATCATTTTTTGTACCTATATTTTTTTTCCTTAAATTTTATAACAATTCTCCCGATATTTTGAGTGTGAATGGTCTAAATTTCATTAACAAATTCGTAGGTTCGTTTTCCGGGGTACTGGAAGCTCTTGACAGTGTGAAAAGGCTTACATTATCGAGTTTCACTTGTTCAACCAAAGGCCCCTCTCTCGTGCATCAAAACTTCCATTGGATGATCGGAATAAAATAAGAAAATAGAAACGTCTTAGTCCTTGTTTGATTCCTTCTTTCTAGAACAATTTTTCGTTTTTTTTAAAAACAAAGATAATTTAACTTTAGTTAAGTGTTTTGCAAAAAGAAAAAGAAATGTCTTTTAAAAATATAAAATTAGCATCCAACGCTTTGATGTGATTTTCCAACTACATACAAGTTCCAACACCCTAATTTATTTATAATGCATCAAACACTATAAGCTATAAATAAAATTAAAGTGTTGGATACTATCAAAAAATTATATTAGGATACTGGATGTTACTTTACTCTTGAAAAAAATTAAAAAAAATAAATTAGAACAATTTTTAAGATAATTTAATATAAAAGGCCATTGTTTTTAGATATTGACAACCCTTCGTTACTTATTTACCGCTTTATTAGCCAACTTTGTCATAAAAAAAATTCCAGCCGCCAACGAGAGTGCCAACGTGGCATGTTTATTTATTTATTTATTTTTAAAGAAAACTAAAGTATATATTTAATTTTCTACATTTACATCTAGTTTCAATTTGCTTCTTTAAATTTAAAAAGTATATTTTGATTTATTTAATTTTAAAATCCTCTATCTCATTTAACAAAACATGTTGACTCGTGAAATGCTTGTTATCATTTTTATCATAAATAAACCTGCGGATCAATTGGTTTATTTTAATTTTGTACTATAAGTATGTTTTGCCAGTATTTAATTATATAGTTACTGTTTAAATTTATTGAGTCAACATTTTTGTGAAATGATGCTAATAGTGCTGAGATTAAAAAAAAATATTTTTTAGACTTAGATGTAAATTTAGTGGACTAAAGTATAGTTTAGCGTTAAAAAACGTAGGACAATCCTATAAAAACACATTTCCTAATTTCATTTTAGTAGATGTGGATGATTTGAGATTATTGACACTGGGCTCACTAATTTGTTATTTTGATATTTTCAGGATATTTTTCTGGTATTTTCCCTAATTTGCAAGTCATAGCTTTTTATTTATACATTTAAATAGAAATAAAGAATGTATTTTATTTTTTTAAAATTTTTTGTCATTGATTAATATTAACTTTTTCAACAGAAAAGAGAATATTACTTACTGGAAATTTATAGACTATTTTTCGTGATTTAATTTGCAAACAACATTTATTAAGAGTGATTTATCAATGCCAAGCATACTTATTCAAAACTAAAAAAATTGATTTATTTATTTTTTAATGCATTTAAGTTTGTGTCCTAATTTTATCACCTCACTTTTTAATATAAGAAGTTAAATTTATATTATACTACCTCCGGTCCTTATTATAAGACCCTATTTGACTTTTTGTTTGGTCCTAATTATAAGATCCCAATCTATTTTGTCTCCCTTATTTATGTATTTTTTTCTAAGATAATCCTTCTAATAATGATAGTTCTAGCTAATATACTTAATTAGCAAGGATATTTTAGGAATGACAATACTTATTTATTATAAATAACTAACTTAACTTACTTCCTTAATCTCCTCAAATAAGTCAATTGGGTCTTATAATTAGGACCGGAGGTAGTAAGTAACAAAATGATTAGCGCATGCCCCTAACGCGTTAAACAACTAAACACAAAGGTCGTGCCACAAGTTATAGCAGCCCAACTAAGTGCGAACACAGAAATTTAAATTTTGAAGCGGCTCAACAAAACACAATACGCATCCTTCCACAAATCCACGCTATTTAGATACAGTCCATGATAGTATCTTGAATCTAATAGGAGGATATTTGTGCTTATCCAAAAAAAAAAAATTGACAACAAAAGATAGTTGACCTAATAGAAGGAGCCCGTCTCTCAAAACATGATGAATTAAAATTTAAATCAATGTTGGGGAAGTGCTCACATTTAGTATCAAATAATGGTTTGAATATGATTACTTCCAATAGTAGGATACATATGCTTAGAAAAAAATATCTAGCAGTACTTCAAATAAGATTACCTCTAATAGAAAAATATTTGTGCCTACGGAAAAAAAAGCATCTAAGCGAATAAATGATCTCAGCTTGCAATCTCGGATGAAAATATTAAGGGAAAAAAGACTTTTGATTCTAAAAGTAACTTCACAAGAGATTTTGTTTTTAAGGTATCAAACTAAAACTTTGTATGAAATTAAATAACTAAGGTGTCTGTTGTCACATAATGACCTAATAAATATAAGAGTTAAGGTGCAATTTTAACCCCAATATTATTTTTCAGATGCAATTTTGTCCCTGATCTTTTTAGTGGTGCAACTTGGATCCTGATTTTTTTTTTTTGTGTAATCTTGTCTCTCATGGTTAAAATTACATCCAAAGATCAAAAACAAAATTGCACATGAGAAAAAAGGATCAGGGATAAAATTATGCATAAGAAATAAGATTAGGGGCAAAATTCATTACCAAAAGATTAGGAATAAAATTGCACCTTAACCCTAAATATGATGACGTTACATAATTTTTAAGATATCAAACTAAAACTTCGTATGGATCTATTGCTTACGGATCTAAGATTAAAAAAGGAATTGGATAAAATGTTTCACGAAACATTTTAACTATCATTTGAACATTGCTGTTGGAGTTTGGATAAAATTACGTTACGTCATTATAAATAGTAAAAATTACATATAGTGAGATTTAAATGGAAAACTATACATAACAAATATAAGTAAGTGGATGTAAATTTTTTTCATTTATAAATGCAAAATTTAAAAGAAAAAATCCCATTTAAATCTAGTTGAAATACTAAAATTTAAAATCAGGCTTTCACTTTAAACAAATTCCTATGAATATTATAAAAAGACTAAAATGCCTCTCTATAATTAAAGTATGAGTAGTCAGTTATATTTTCTCCCTTGCAAATTCTTTTCCTAAAATATGAAAATAATAAATTATAACACTGTCCTCAGTCCAAAATCTGTAAAAAGTTCGTTATCTTAATAAGTTTTTAACTCTTAAAATGTACGTGTATTCTATTAAAAAAATGTATGTGTTTAATAACAAAAATTGTATATGTGTATATATTATTAAGTATATGAAGAATGGATCAATATAAAACTGAACAAAAATTAAACCCTTCCAAGACTAAAATCTAACAATAACTACATCCTTACGTTGATGAGGATGCTGGAATAATTATTAATGTAAGCCATTGACTATATTGTAATTTTTTGTCATCTACTGAAGATTTACTATTTTCAAATTTCAATCTAACAAGAAAATTTTAGGAAAAGAATTTGTGAGAAAAAAATATAAAAGTAACAACTCATATTATAATTATAAAGGGGTATTTTAAAGTTTTAACAAATTTATAAATTACTAATTGGGTCTGATTAGGAATTTGTTCAAAGTATGGATCTAATTTTAAATTTTAGTATTTTAGTTGGATTTAAATGGGATACTCTCAATTTAAAAACCCTATTGAACTCAAACCCTTAAAAAAAAATCTTCGGTATCGTTAAATATTCCTGGGCTGTTTCGCGGTAAAATTTTCAGTAAAACAATGAAGAAAGCATTTAAGAAGAAGAAACAAATGGAGAGACGAATTTGTCCCTAGCTGGTCCTTACGGGCTTGCACTTCGCGAATGTTACCCAGTCAAATTCACGGAACCTTTTCGGTAACATGCTTTTTGGTGGGGACCATTTACCATTGTTTGTCTTTTATACACATGGGGACTTTTGATTGACATAAAATATCAAATAAAGTTGGCAAAAAAAAAAAATCCCAGTAAAACCTTTTTTCTTTGGTGATTTAAAAAAACACGACAAGGGCAGCATGGGGTTGCGTGGTAAAGTGGCGCTCCTTTCTGTTCGAAATATAAGATAAATTTTATGAAAAGGATTTGATTTTTTTAATAAAATAATATTTATTTTTGTCTAAGTATTTAATAAGTTTTTTTTCAATTTCACCCTATATAACATGTTATTTTTTTTCCCTCTTTGATTCATTTATTACATCTTATATTTATTCTTTTCCTTAATAGATGCATATTTAAGAAGAAATATATATCTTACATATTTATTGTTTTAAACTGATTTTAACTAATTTCTTGATAACGTAAATGGATA